CCTAATCCAATTTCCAAAAACCACCTGTCCCAGCACAAGAACATCTACCAGCTGATCTCGGCATGCGGGTGACGTGAAAACTAGGAGTTCTAATCAAAGTACACCGAAATAACTCTCCCCAAATAGGGAGTTTTAATTATGCCTCCAAATGTACTGGCCTGATGAAGAGTTGCGCAAACCATATGTTTGCCAAATTTACTTTTTAAATTAAACCTAGGAATGTGTGCAGAATTTAGACAGCCTCAGTGTTGACAAGTTAGGTTTCCGGTTGAGTCGTGACCTGCTCTAAACTAAAAAAATTCTGGCTGCGCGACCTAGCGCACGGTCGTTAAGTCAATATCAACTATTCTACGCAGTCATTACATCGGGAACCGTCACGCATATATTAGTATTAAGAAGTCTGGATATACTGCAGGTCACTTACGGCACTGCAATGCAAAACAAGTCATTGCAATTGTTTCGAGATTACACTGAAATCTGGACAGGTAGTAAAAAGCTCACTTTCGCTTTTCATTCATAAGGGAGTCTTGAGAAAACGTTTCCTCTCGTTGACGGTGAGCGTATCTGTTTTCATTTGCCGTTCTTCTGTAATGTTTTAACTCCAAATTGCATGGGGTAGGTTGGATGTCACTGATGAAAGTGCCCACCTCGTGCCACTTACGTGTGAGGTTGTTTAAAAGTAATTATAGAGGATATGAGTAACAAACGGGGTTTATTAAATGTCTTGTATTTAAAATTCATCGACCGTGACACCGCCTGAGGTCGGCGCGTTGAGGACATAAGAACTAGGTAGCGAGAGATTATGGTAGGCTCTAAGTATTATTCGGGATCACTTTCAACCGCGCGGACTGAATAACTGTCATCAGGGGGTAGGAAAGACATGCTATCACCACCTAAACTCGGCGTCGGCCATGGAAAAAAAATGCCTGTATGATGGTCCCTTGAAAAAAACAGTACTGCATTAGCTAGCCGTAGGATCACTGGTTCGGTTTTTGTTGGCACCCCTTAGCATAGGCTCTACAAAAATTGGCTGGAGTCTGGTAGACTACCTGAAAGGTTTCGTTGGCATCCAAACGGTGATTTCTATTAAGCTGGTGTCCGCGAGCAGAACTTAAAGTCGATTATATTTCTACCTCTGGTAACTCAGGCAGGTAAGTGTTGAAGTGCCCTCAGTTCCGGAACCTTAATTGTCCGGCCAGCATAGAGTGCTCCATAGCAGCAGGCGAAACAGTAACAACACACTGGCGTGGCCTTATAAAAAAGTCTTTCCAGGCCGAGTCCAGTGCTGCGCTGTCAAAAGACGCTGATACGGGCGCTTTTACTTCCGTGGTTGACGCTGACCTCAGTTGGCGATCGTATTGTGCCCCTCGTGACAGTTTTTCACTACGCACACTTGACCGTGCTCTTTACTCCGCCTTCTCCACCACAAACGTAAGGCTGTAAAGCCTACCTTTCTCTCTGTCCTCAGTCCTAGTGGTCTCAACTCGCCGACCCCTTCATGCGAACGCTGAAAGAAGGATGAATATTAACTATCAGACATTTATAAACCCTGCCCATTACTCATATGTTTGCTGATAGAAGCGAATATGTGAGTTCCAGGAAGCAGTTCAAAAGTAGAATATGCCATCGCTAGAACGATAATTTTATTCGCCTGATGTTTAAGATTCTGTGCGTACTTCTCATCCTACTCTACTGTTACCTACGATCTAGGATTCGCGACAAAATCAGAAATGTCAGACAAAAAGTAATTAGTCTAGCGATTGCATTTTCTACATCTGAAGTCTATGTTTATTAGCTGTGCAGCTGTATAGGGCTGATTGTGATTCACTGAAAACATAGCTTTGCTGAATCGAATTGTCAATTTAAGCATTGGGATCTTAATATAATATAAAAGACTTGGCAAGCATCTTTCGCATCCTCTCTCCGCTCATTAACTTGAGTAGTGTTCGGACGCTGTGACCTACATGGTATCCACAAAAAGTATCATGTTTTGTATGGTAACCGTTACCGCGTGAAAATTATCCCTTGCATAAATCGGCGGCATTTAACCTTCACCTAGCGGAGTCGACGAAAATATTCACTATGACCAGGTAGCAAGCAAAGGTGTGCTTTCATTAAACTCCCATCGACCTAATACACCCCTAAAAGAACAGCAACAGCAGATGTGACCCTCATCAGGTTGCGGAAGCCGATTTTATGTGTACAGAAAACCCTCCTGCAAGTTTCGCACTTAGTTTAAACACAGCTCCGTCAATCGCATGCACCTTCTCGCGTTTTTCCTCTCTTTCTTCTCCCCTTCCTACTGGCACTGCTCCATCCAAACCTCTATTACTATACTTCCAGTATATAGTGCGTTAATAATTTGAGGATGTGATCACTGGAACAAGCGTTTTATTTGCCTGACGTTTCGGATACCCTCGAAATCATAGGTGATGATAACATAGTCATGGTCATGCGCAGATGGGGTGGAGACACCCACAGGCTGCACGGTATTTATAGTTCCTAATGGTCATCCGTGTGTGTA